ACGTATGACCCTAGTGTTCTTATGAGAAAATATGCATATTCACCCCTAATTAAGAAAATGTTTTTTTTCCGTCGGAACCGACAGTCAATCCGTAACCCGGAATCCCATCGGATTCTGTTGGGTGATAGGATCCCATCAGACCCGATAGGATCCGTCATATGATTCATTCACCTGGGTATTGCAACTACTGTTTCAACAGTTTCTTCAGGAGAAAATAATGTAGAAAAAAGAAAGAAGAATATTTTGTCTTTATGTCTCGATGATCCTAGGCCATCAATGTCGAATATGGATGAATTTACTTCATGGATGAGTTGCAACTTAACATTAGATGATAAAGAAAATGATGATATATTAGGATTTTGACCAAAAAACAGTCTGTCTTTTCCTATTATTTCAACTATTATACGTAATCTTTTCGCTATTCCAGCATCGAATACAACTGTTGAGAGAATTTTTTCAATATCAAAAAATCTTATAACCGACAAACGAACAAGATTAGGAACAGAAAAAGTTAACCAAATGATATTTCTTAGAAAAAATCTTATTACTCATAAAGATTTATTCAATCATGATCACTACAAACATGAACTTGAATCAAATCATGATAAACGAAAGAATGATGATGCACCAGCTGAATCACTTGATAAAAATAGTAAAAATCGAAAATAGATGAAAATTCCAAAAGAATCATTCCGATAGTAGGATCCGATAAGATCCCAGAGGGAATCCTATCCGATATCATTAAAATGTTAATAAAACCGATGAAATTCCGTTGGATTCCTGAAAACGGATTTACAGTCGGATCCCTGCCGCTGGAATCCGAGAAAAACCTATGTCGGAATTCAATGGAAACCGACGCTAGCATACAACCCTTGTATTCTGATGGCATCAGATGCTTATTCATTCCTGATTAAGAAAGTTGATTCTGTCCGTCGGATCCGACAGCGATTCCTCAACCAGGAATCCCTCGGGTTTTTGTCGGAATGTTGGATCCTAAGAGATCCGGTGGAATCCGATGTCGGATTAATTCACCTGGGATGATGAGATTGTTATCGATGAAGTAGAAAACAATTTTTAGTATAATATTTTTCTAAAATATGTTTGTTAAATGTTGATAATATGTTTTGTAATTAGTGATGTTAGGGAGATTCACTCTAAATTATTTACAACCACCTGCTTTTGTTTATCTTATGTAACTGCATGTTTAGCAAATTCGTTTATAATATTTCAAAGGACTTCAAAATTAAGCACTAAATGTTGAAGTCTTGTGAGATATTAGAAACGAATTTGCTAAACATGCAGTTATATAAGATAAACAAAAGTTGGTGTTTGTAATTTAAAGTTTTGTACTTTGTAAATATTTTTTGGTGGTGTGAATTAATGCGCTTTCTATTGATTATATTCACTTATTTGCTTCATTTTAAAAAGTAAAAACAAATTTTGATATACGATTAAAGAGCTATCAAATTCCTATCAAATACATTTTTCGTGACCAGCCGTGACTCTAACTTAGTCACGGTCACGGTCACGCCGATGTCTAGTGACGATACTGCGAGTTTTACTTTCTTGTTTTAGTCTTTTGGAAATATTCTTTTATTTTCTTTTATGACATTAGGATGAACAAGAATTTGGTGAAAATTGTGTTCAACGAGGTACAAAAAGTGGACTTAGTCTACGATTATTAGTTACTCAAGCAATAGCTGTGCGAAAAGATGCATTATAAATATATATTTATCCATTTACTGGTTTCATCGCATTATGATATCTCAGTGTATCGGGAAGTAATTCGTTCCAAACAGGATATATATCAACCGGTATGTTCTTGAATAAATATATTCTACTTGTTAAGTGTTACTCTGATAGGTCGATGTCATCATCAACCTGCACAAAAGTAAAACTAAGGCACATCTAACAAAGAAGTTCTATAGTGTTTTTGTTTCCAAGATGATTGGCTATGACGAATAAAACGAGACATTTCCTAAAACGAAATTTAACATATACAAAATTTGTACTCCAATTAATTTAATTCTAAATGAAATTCCATCCTGATCATTTTAAACGCCTTCAATTTTTTTTCAGCATATTCTTCATCACTATTGATTTCCGTTGTATCATGATCATTAATTGTAGAATTATCATTTGTATAATTAGTATTGATGATGCAGAGACTCATTTTATATGAAATCGAAAAGTTGCAGATGGTTCGTTTGTTGATTCATTAGATATACTCTTATTGTCAATGATTCATCCCTATGCGACTATATTCAAGACGACTTTTTTACCAGAAGGCATAAACCACTCTAAACTTTAGTTATTTCTTTCTTGTTCTTACTATCTAAAATAAAACTTAATGGCAACTTCCTATGTTGGTCATTGACCTTTCTCTAACCATTCCATTCATTAAGTTAACGACGTTACTGCCATCTTTAACAGTTCTATTGAACCTGAGAAACCATTGATACGGCGGCTTTCGTTGATGAAAAGTGTAAAGACAAACGGAGTGTCGTGCTCTGGATCTCCATATGGTAATTTGCTTATTGCAACTTACCAAGAGGTAAAGGATCTTCACTGATCACATACATGTTGCAATGACGGAATTGTGCAGATTGCTGGAAACACTGATCTGCCAGAGCGACACTTTTCAATAAATAAAATGAAAATATCCAGTGTTTCTTAAGGAAAATTTGAATGCTGCCGTGGTGGTTCTCCATTTTCCAATAAAAAGTTGTCTCATTTTCCTTTGGCGTATCTGTTTATGATCGTCCCGACTAGAGCTACTGCTATTATAGCGAAACACATGATGCTCCGTTAAAACATATATTGGGAGTGCTACTCAACGAAAAGTGATATTCGGGAAAAATTAATATGGATTTGAGAGTATACATAATAAGATCGTTCTGATTGTGAAATATAACATAAGCAACCTATCTTTTGTTTTTATTCTACAGTAGTTGTTTAGTTAGTGAGTTCATATTACTGAAGACTGCTGTAACATGGTATTCGAATACATGTTATTAAGTACAATATACCGATGGTGCATTTAAACTCTTTTTGTGGACAAATGTTGCTCTGGCAAGTTGATGTTGCCATCAACCCGCTCAATTTCGTCATCGCACTGTATTTGATCAGTAAAGATCGTTTACCTCTTGGTAAGTTGTAATAAGCAAATTTATTCGTGGAGGCCAAGAGCACGAAATTATTTTTGTCTCTACTCTTTCCGTACAGAACAAAGGAGAATGTAAGCGAGCGATGTGTCAGAACGAGAAGAATATCGTGTCCTACAGATCAACGAGGTAAATTGCTTATTACAAACTTACCAAGAGGTAAATGATCCCTACGGATCTGATACATGTTGCGATGACGAAGTCGTGCGGGTTGATGGTAACATCGATCTGCCAGAGCAACAATTTCTTTATAATTGTATTGAATAATCAGTAATGCAAGTACAACGCTGTGACAAACAACTCAACTGCAGATATTCACTGATGTACGAAATTAATAGACTGAATATCTTGTTTACAACAATAAACGATGAAGTGATTTTCTCACGACATGGCGTTTTATGATCACCAGAAAAAGAAGGACGACATTAAAACAAAATATATGGCTTGAAGGTTTGGGTATCAATGAAAAATACAATCCACAGACACACCCACACAAGAATGCGTGCTATTGGAATTGAAGATTTTGTTGACCATTCAATAATAATGGCAAGGATATATTCAGGTTGTGGATCAAGATAGTCAATGAGTTGATTCAGCTAAATGATCAAATAAAAATTTCGTATGTTAATTCAAGTATACATATCTGTGCATGAATTATTGGATGATGAGATTGTAATGTTTAAATAGCCTGTTTCACTAGAATAAATTCTCGAAATAGCTGTTTGAAACGATACGGAATATGAATCAAAGTTACTTGTTATATATAATGTCACACTGAAAGAAAATAGCATGTTGTATATTCAAATCTTTCAATGCACTCATAAGCATGATTTTATTACTATCAGTTGAAAGAATGACTACGCGTGGTTTCTCATAAACATGTATTATTTGTAGTCCAACTGTAGCAAGTAAACCTCATTCAGTGGATCCTAAACGAACGTTCTTTTGTAAAAACAAGTTCACCCATCTGAATATCATGATCCATACCTCTAAACAGAACATAGGCATACTGAAAATAGTTTACAAATTCAAGTTAAACACATACCTAATATATCTTGATGCAATGAACATTCAGAAATAATACACATACTCTTCTCGTATCGGATAATTTAGTACCGATATTAATCACTATACAATGACCTTCGACAAGTGATGTATTAGTCTGAATTAAAAGAGTTCGAAGTCGAACAAAATAATTCAATATTTTCTCCTGCAACCAGGGTTGCCACATCTTCCGCTTTTTTGCTCTTTTTCCGCTTTTTTCCGCTCTTCCGTTTTTTTTCCGCTCTTCCGTTTTTTTTCCGCTCTTCCGTTTTTTTTCCGCTTTTTCATATAAAAGACTTTCGTTGTTTAATCGAAAACGTAACCATGCAAGAAACTAGATAACGTGATGTTAGACGAAAATTTCTTGGAAAATAATTTTCTAACGTATAATTCTATACAATTCTTGAAAAATTTTCGCTTCACATGATAGATTTTCCAATAAATTTTTCTAGTGAAACACATTTNAACAAAGTAGTACTATGAGCAATAAAACAAGGTTACTTAAACTCTTGGAAATGTGAAAGGTCAGCAAAAAGCAGCTTTCCGTTTTTTCTATTTTTGTTTCCGCTATTTTCCGTTATTTCCCGCTCTTTTTGATCAAACTTTCCGCTTTTTTGACCTGATGAGGTGGCAACCCTGGTTTCGATTCACTTTTTTTCATTTATTTGATCACTGATACGTGAATTTCGATTGTTAAATAATTTCTCGTTGAGAGTAGTAGTACATCGAATTGCTGAATCGTTGCTCAAAAAACGCAAACAAATACTTTTGCGTTTCCGAAAAAGTTGATTATTGAACAACAGCATGTAAAAATATTTTCAATAATTAATCAGGGAGGCTTCTGCCATTGATATAAACAAATGAATTCATTTGAAATTCATTTTTACTCATTCACAAAGTGAAATATGAAAGAAGAACTAAAACACAGAAGACTGTGTAACGAAGAATGAAGTTAAAGTTCCGTGCAATGGTTGATATTGACTATCAGTTAACAGCATTGACTTATTTATTTCACAAGATTTTCGAAAAGAAAAGATAGAAATTTCGTATTTTTCAATTGCGACACTGAATCAATATTATCGCATAGACTAAATATCCGTTGTTTTAATGCTAAGAAGATACTGTAGGCGAGACAGATGCACCAAATTATCAACGATGTTTTACTTGATATCATCTTTTCCGGAGTAGAATTTAAACGAAGGTCTTTTGCCATAAAAAAAATATTTCTTACATCGATCAATAAGTGATTGTATCAGTAATTTGTTTTGCTTTAGTGAATAGCATTGCTTAAATAAATCTAATAAGAAGGGTGCGGATGTATCAATGTGGATACTAGATTGATCCACTCCCTCACAACCACACATAAACAGAATGGTAACGATAAATCAAGCTTGCTTATATGATTAATTTTTATTTTAGAATAAAAATCATGTTTAGTTTAATCTTCAATATGAGCGAAGCTTTCCTACTCTGTCTCACAGGTGAACCACATCCAACATCGACCATTGATGCATGTCAACGAATTAGATCTGCAACAAATCACGGGTTGATTTAAATTAATAGCGCTCAGATCTTTTGAAATTGAGCATGTGAATTTTAGTCATCTATTAACTTAGTACAAACTCGACAAGCTACTGAAGCAATTTTTTTATTGTTTCACCTTGCATTCGATACACTTGGTTATCGACGAGTCGTATGATCATGTAATGCTTTGAATATGAAATCCCAACTTGCCGCACTGAGATATGGTTTTCAGTATGAAGATACATGGATGAAAGCAGATATTCATAAAGAACGATCAAGGGATACTGCATGGTTCAGTATAGTTGATGGCAAATGGCCACAAGTGAAACAAGAATTTAAACGATGGTTAAATCCCGAAAACTTCGATATAAACGGGTAGCAACTGACTAAATAAAATGTTGCTAAAGTTACAGACAGTAGTTAAAAACTTGAAAGGTCATGCATCTATTATTAGTGAAATTATTGTTTATTAATTAAAAATAAATTTTTTCTGCTAAAGTTTTTTGTGGATAGATCATCTTACAAGTTTCATTCCTTTTACTTTCGATTATTATTACAAGAACAAAAAAACATTTATTCAATATAGATTGAATAAGCGTCAGCAAAAACTGATTCGTATCTACCACCATGAAAAACAGGAATCATCTCTTTTAGGTCTCCATTTTCAACTCGAGTAACAATTAGTTCCTGTGGTTCTTCAAACTTCACTGAATTGAAATATAATCGCTCAGGTTTCCATGATACACAATCCATACATGAAGAATTTTTCGATGGTTGCCATTCAAGTATAACGGTATCATTACCATAGATACAATGTAGCGGACTAGTAAGCCGTAATTGTACTGATGCACTTTGGTTAACATCAACTTTTGACATTTCTGGATCGTGTTCAAGACCTAATGTTACATCTTGACAATTGTATGCCCAATCTTTTGGAATTTTACCAAATAATTCCTCATGAGGTTTACAAATTGATACATTTCCATAGTTTGTTACGACTCGTAAACTATCCAAACCACGATGAACAACATGCGTTGTTCGTAGCAGTATTTCGGTATTTTTAATAAAGTAAATTTCTTCACATGGATATTCTGCTCCAGAATAAAGAGAACATTTTTCAGTTTCATTCGTATGATTAGCTGAATGTATTATAATACCAATGGTCTGGAAATGAATTGAATGAGCGAAGTCCATATATCCAAAACGTACCATAAAATCAACTGTCGGATGTATTACTTACTGATAATTCTACAAAATTCTCTGATTCTGGTGAACCCGGAATTGTATATGGAACGTTTTTCATAACAAAATCATATCCTCGTTCTTGAGATATTTGATATGAGTTCTGGCTGACAGGATCGATTGCCATTATAGTTTGGTGATCATCATCAATCGAAAATGTTGCTTGCGAAGGAAAATATGGTTGAACACATTGTTCGAATTGTAACAAACATGAAAACTAAAATAACAATATTGTTATTTGAATCATAATATGAATTTCTAAAGTAAAACGATAGCATTATACTCATTCAGACATGAGAAATACAGTGTAATATTTAGATCATATATAATGGGATATGATTTAGCATCAGATTGTAATGTCACGGACGCTAACAAATCTCTGAATGAAAAGAACTCGCAGCTAGTAGGGTATCATTGATAACAACTGTTGGGTCGTGCTGATTAACTGAAAAACAGTTTTAAAGTAGCATCGAACTCTCGATCTATCTATGATAGCATTTTGATTTTCATGTGCCTATATAATATACATTATGAAATCGAAGAAAGGTGCTTTTTTACTTTTGCAAGGTCAAATATAAAGCATATGCCAAGGATTTTCTCTTTAGTCAATTGTAACGAACATCTCAATTTGAGGATGACTTTGCAAGAACCACAATTATTTAGAACAATACACGAACAGAAGCGATAACAATACTAATTAGCATCGAGCAAGTTGCATGTTATTTGAATTCAAACCTATGACATATAGCATGTTTTCATGCTATGCAGTGAAGCCATGTGAATTTTTCAGCATCATTCCATGATAATGAAAAACTTCAAATGTTCTATTCGAACACAAAAGCATTGTCAGCATAAGAATTGAATAGAGAAAAGTAATAGTTTTCGCTGACAACAATATTATGTTGAAGTGTTGTTAAAGAAACTTATCAATCAGTTGCAGAGCATTGCTAACATAAGCTTCAATGGTATGTATTGCTCTTTGTTTTGTTGAAAAAAACAGAACGACAAAATCGATCAATGCAAATAAATAGACCGATCAAATCTTCATTTCTTGAAAGATTCTGTGTTTATTTTAGAGAAGAACTTTATCACAATGGTAGGATGCATTGAGAATGATGGAACAGTTAGAGATTCGTCTTTCAAAATAATTGATAAAATCGAATCTGATGGAATCGTTCGTGGTTGTACAGGTAAAGTTCTGTGAACAATCTTGGCCGGTGGATCAGTTCGTAACGGCACCGGAGGGCGTCTTGGAAAAGTGGAAACAGATGGGACTGTACGCAACGGCTCGTATGCTATGATTGGCAAAGTTGAGAGTGGTGGTACTATTCGCAATGCTTCCTTAGCGACAATTGCTCGACTACCTAATGTACCAAGAATATGGGTTGCCGCTACATTTCTACTATTCGGATTTAAAATGAGTTAATTTACTAACTGTTGTTCTTTTATCAAACTTCAATCTTTTACTTTCTAAAGAAATAATTTGTGAGATGAACTCTTGTGAATAATTAGGTTAATCGATGACGGAGATGGAACGTCATTTGAGTACAAACCAAGGAGGGAAAGGCGAGACTTCAGGAGTGCATAACTTCATCCGTACTTCAAAAAGCGTTTGAAGTAGATGAAGTCTGCTTTTCCACTTGAGAATTATGCAACTAATTGATTTGATTCGACAAAGATTATGCTTCTCTTTGTTGATGTAAGACATAATTCACGAATAACTAAAAGATCTTATTATGATTAACGTACTGCAGAACATGTTCACTATATGGTAATTCAGAATAATAATATGGTTACCGAACTTGCCATGATGAGAACTGTCATTAATAGAAACACGATCATCTGTTTAAAAGCAATTGTTTTGCTGTGACATTCATAAGAATTTTTTTTAAATTGGGTGTGGCTGTCGATGTCCGTGTCGATTTTAAGAAGGACACGCACACTCACATCCACACTTAATGGATATTCGAATAACCAAAAAAAACTCCTTGACTTTATCTTATTATTTCATTTGGAAAAACAAAACGATCGCACATTTATTTAGTATTAGTACCTAATTCAAAGTCATCAAATATCAACGAAGATCTCGCATGTGGTTAAAATCCAAATAGTTCCGCCAAATCCGGTGCTATCGGATAATGCTGATGTGCCCGAGCAACCTGTTTCAGTCACAGAGCTCAGCTCGGCCCAGTTTTGAGATAATGTTTTTATTATAGACGGTGCTGTAAAATTTGTTTTTTACGATAATTTTCAATGCCTTTAAAAAAAGTTAGAATTTGAGCAGGAAATACTCCGTAATTATTCATAGAGGGAACCGGAATACGTGGGCGCTACCGACAGTATTGAGAAGAAACGTGCGACATCGGTTGATATCTTGTACATCTTTGAAAAAGAAAGATCGAACTATTATTATCATGTTTTTGAACAGAATTGAATACAAAACAAGAAATGGCGAGCGTGGGCAATTGAAGACGAATAAAAATAACGATCATGCCGTTCTATATGTACAAACCTGACTGATCATTGCCGTATCGAGTACAAAGCCTAGTAACACTATAAATGCGTGCTTATTTCATTTATCTCTATATCATTTCTTATTTTAATTCAGTTCGAATTCATCATATCCTCAATGGCTGCTTCGAATATCGATGGAAATTCATCGGCTGATGGCAAATATCATCTAATTTTAATATCTGTTATTGATACAAATGGTTTGTGTGCAGGTGGTTTTTATGAACCATTTACAAAAACAATCAATGCCTGTAGCGGTTCTTCTGCCAATGAAATAGTGAATCAAGCTTATGGAGCATTAGAAGAAACCATGAAACATTGGCATTGTGCACCATTTGATTTAAAGAAAATCAAAGAATCAGTCGTTTTTGATTATGTTGCATGCCGTACTGAAAATGAAATGATTACAGCTCTTCAACATGTCAAAAAAGGAACAAACTATGAAGATATTGTTAAAAATATTTCAAAGTAAGACAGTTTCATTTGATTTAGAATTATTTCGAACTTTTTTTTTAATAAAAGACAGAACTTACCCAATTCAATTTTTCTACTTTTAAGAAAACATTTCTCTTGGCAGAAGAGATAAGTCTTAATTATTTACAAAATTTTTAAATCTCGCAGATGAACAAATAATTTTCACATAGACGAGTGTTACGAAGATCCAAATACAACTATTTTTCTAAATGTATTCATGTTCTATTTGTTTTTTTTGTAGAATGCGAGAAATAAATGTTCCTGGAAAAGTTGGTCAAAAACATGTTTGATCTCAAATCAATTTATTAATAAAATACACTTTTCTTTAGCTTTTGTAGAGTAGACTTTATGAACATTATTGTATGCTTTGATTTAAATAAATAACTATATTAATCAGGAAGATTTCACTGCAGACTGATAAATCGATACTAATTGAAAAAAACTCATCTATTCTTGGCTGAAATCTCAAACTATATCATTGATAGGCTAGGAATTTCAATTTATATTTGTAGAAAATAAACAATCAATAATAATAATTCTATGAATGTAGTTGTTGTTTATTTTTATCATTGTCAACTGAACAAAATAATAACTTCTTCATATGCGGACTTAGTTCCGATATGTAGATATATAAAATATCGCATAATAACCACGTCAAACCGTAAATAGAATGATATTTAATAATGTTGTGTTATTGAAATTTGCAAATTATATAAAATTTGTTCGTTAAAGAAAAATTTTAGAAATTATACCAATAGAAAAAATGGTTTACGAAGAGAAAAGTAAAATAGGCGAAGAATTTAAAACAAAAACTCGGTACAATAGTGAAATAACTATACTTATTTTTTCTTGGTATAAAGAAATAGTTCATAATAGTATCATCTTAGCGAAAGTTCTTTCCCAGTCACTTCATTAATAACAAAACTATAATCTTACTTTCAATATTTTTCTATTCCGTCGTTTTAATTCATCGAAATTTGTAATTCTACATTTTTACTTTCGATATTAGCTGGGTCAATCAGATTTTCATTTGTCGTTAAACATACACGAAAATAACTAGGTATCATACATACTGAACCTGGTAAACATAAAATATTATATTTCGATAATAGATGACAAAATGCTCGATCATCTTTTAAAGGTGATACAACAAGAATATAATATGTTCCTTGTGATTTTACATAGATAATCATAAAAGTTTGCCCTTTTCTGATACATTATATATTAGGTATTTCAGAAAAATCTGTAATATTATGCTACATAGGCTAATACAAAAATATGAATAAAACGTTTCATTAGTATGCTGTGAAGCGTCTTGATCATTATTCTTTTTAATGTAGGATTTACACAATTTTGTTTTTAGTAATAACGAAAACTAACAATTTACATTATTGGTTCTCCATGCTGCTCTTTATTCAGAGTTTTTACATAATATTTTAACGAAAATCCAGGTCTACTATCAGAACGCTCTGTGTCATCTCCGACAGGCAAGGGGGAAAAGAGGATTCCGTCTATCCGGGATACGGTGACAATCCACACAATCCAGAAGATCCCACAATCACGCGATCCACTTTTCCACAGTGAATATAGTATTGATATTTGAAAAGTTAGCTGTTTAATTTTAAATGAAAATTGAGACGTTTTAAGATTATGTACATTGGAGCGCTTTATAAATTATTCGATTTTTCTATTCTATCAGTCATAATTAAAAATTAAATCTTAAAAAAGAAACAATCGGACACCTAAATGAACTGTAATAATATGAAACGTGAACAAATAAAAACGGGTAGTATGATGTTTTTTTTCTTTGCATTTGAATTAAGTCCAACGCAATCAAATTTACTCATATAAATTAATTCTTCATGACAGATCAACGAAAAATAAATATAATCATAAGAGTTTCATCCTTATCTTTTACATAGACAGTTAAAGGAAATATTCGACAAGATTCGTGATAAACGATTTTCTCTACGGAAGTCTTTATTCAACACTGCTGCCTCATTCTATGAGAAGATTCATGACTAGAAAGTTATATATAGGTACCCATGAAAGAAAAAAGATCAGCTGTATATTAATCAATATTCTTGATACTCGTTTTTGCATTGAATAAACTGCCATAAACTTGAATTCTATTCAATTAATTCAATGAATAACAGGAAAACGAAAGTTTTTCATATAAAGAGTAATTCATTCACTAGATTACAACAATGGAAAAAGAGACGAATATTTCAGACTATTTGTGAGGTCATACTGTCCGTTAAGTATTTCGAAATATTCATGATTATATTCCGTATGAGTAGTTCTTCGATTTACGATACTATCTTATATAGTTCTCGACTAACGATTGTAAAAAGTAAAGACTCGTAGTGTATACTATTAACTATTTAATATTCTTTTAAATTTTCAACTTATTCTAAACCATAAGTACCAATTGTCTTTGAAATCTTACAATCAAATAGCAGTCAAACTAAATCATCAAAAATTTCAGGTTTGCTTATTTTTCAATGTTCCTAGCGAGCAATAACAGGATGGAGAGGAGTAACAAATTTATTTTCATTCGTTAGGTAGTATAAATACGCTTGAGTTTTATTCAACTATTTTATAGATTTCTTTTGATACTCTTACAATTTACCCTACAGAAATAATTTCAATTTATCAGTCTTTCTAAATATTATGCATGATAGGCGGAGTTTTAGTTATATTTTTTTAAGTTATAGGTTATATTGTAGAGTCTTTGTTAAAATATCTCATGAGTTACTTTGCATTTTATTTTTGGTGCTAATATAGAATTATTTTAAGGCTAAAAAGTAAATTCGAAAGTAGACTATCCCGCTCGGCAACATATTTCTCAGCTGAACTACGAGTACTAACTTTATTTTCGAAGAAACAAGCTACTATGTAACATTTGAGAGTAGCCAACTCACGTCAGTAGTATGTCTTCGAAATTCCATTGTTGGATCGTGTAATACAAATCGACGACATAACTTTAGTGGTTGATGTTTTCTTTCTGGATTGCCAGTTTCTTTCTCTCTTTGTTTCTAATTTTCATTTAATTACTCCTTTTTAGAAAGTTTGATTTAAACTCTAATTATTTTGCCTGTTGTAATACTTCTGTCGTGATTTTCATTTGGATACAACTGTTATTTATTTTATTGTTTTCAATTTTCATAGTAGAGCACAAAAATTCAAAATAGATATGATTGCTAGGAGAACATTATTTGTTGTTGTGCGTATTTGTTTTCGTATTTAGAATTAAAACGAATGAGTGTTATTTGATTGAATGATATGTTCCTTGTACGACTCAATTCAACTCAATTCGATTCCTAAATTTCAATAATAAGTTATTTTTGGAAGCGTTTAATGAATATTCAATGGGTGTAAATAAAGACTTGCTCCCCATCAGTGTAATTGCTAATCATTTCTGATAGCGGTGTGCGATACTATATTTATTCGTCCTTAATGGGTTTTTCAATGAGCGAGATTGTTATTGCTGAGCTCGCGACTTGGAATGCATTTATGTAAACGTACGAAAAAGGCAATGATATGAAAAATTTATAAAAACTCATAAACTATTCATCAGTCTGTTATCTTCCGAATGAATAAAGCTTTAGCATTGTTTCGATTGATATTATTCCATACATCTTTGTGTTTCCTCTTGTTATAGTTGTATTTGAAAAAAACAATCAAAACATTTGGTCATATAAAGTGACAATGGGAAGGATGCGTATGGAACGTCGCTTCCAAATAGAATCTTTGATGGATCAGCAAATTCGAGAAGTGCTTTAAGTTGAGGAACGCTTGATGATAGAGCTGTATCGAAATAGAACGATCGTAAATCAGACAAGATTTGTCGGGGGCCTAGAGGGCACTTCAAGGATCGAATCAATCCAGCACCAGCTAATCGTTTGCCAAGAAATGGAAGTGTACCACCGGCATGAGACAATATTATCTTGAGGTTAGGAAATGCCGCACGAGTACCACTGAGAACAATGTCTGCAGCTGTTCGAGTGGTTTCATGAGGATAATCAACGAAAGGTTGTGGCATGTAACGATTGACAATTGTTGTAGGTGCTTCACTTGGATGGATAAAAATAACAGAATTGATATCATTTAATTTGGCCCACACCGGTCGAAAAGATGAATGACCAAGATACTTATCATGGTCGTAGCTTGTGAATAGTATAAATCCATCAGCTTTGAGGACTGAATGAGCATAATGAATTTCGGCAACAGCACCTTCGATATCGATTAGAGATGGAAGTGAAGCAAAGAGTCCAAATTTTGCAGGATCTTGTTGCACCAAATTCGCCGAAAATTCATTCAATTTCCGAGCGAAATTTCTACCTTTTTCTGTATTTCCTTCATAAATCTTGGTACCTGGAGCTGTGATCGAAAGGAAAGCGATTTCCACACCCAACAGAGACATCTGTTCTTTGGCTGACTGTAGAGACCATTTTGGCGTTGGCCAACCTGATGGATCTCCACCGGTAGCTTTTACAGCTTGAGCATAAAAGTCAGGAACGATATGGTGATGCGTATCAACACGGCGTGGTCGTCGATTGATCAGAGAACCAAGGACTCGAGCACCTTGGATGCGAGCAACATCCAGAATACGTGTTTTATATTCTCCGGTTTGACCTTCAGACGGAAAACAAACAAATTCATTAAAATGAAGCATTTATGTAGTTACTCGCTAGTAGGTTATATGAATGATCATTGGCAACTTCACATGTTTCCTTGCTATCGTCAGTATTCTTCGTTGATGGATATTCATTCAAGAATCTACTTGTCTGAAAATGGTTCTTCCATGGCGCAGTTAAAACTGACGACCGACGGAACATTTGCATTATGCCCTGAAAATTTTCCGCTGCCAAATCTTGATAAATATCTACAAATAAATATATTGAATAATCAATCACAAAACGTGTGTAAAAGAATAGCCTTCATAGTAATCGAAATTTAGTGAATGCATAAACTATTCTGTTGTTTTTCACTGACTGCTATTAATCTTGACAGTCTCAAAGTATTTGAATTTTTTTAAAAGTTATATAAAACGTCAAGGGTACTTGTACACTTCTTGGGGGTGTGTGGGTGTGGGTGGGGGTGGGGTTGAAGGTTTGGGTTTGGTTATTCTGTCAAGACTGACGCATATTAAATGACAGCGATAGATAGCGATTAAAAGATTATTTCTTATGGAAGTGGTTTTGCTTGATGGTAATGTATGTTCAACTAGCTGATTTAGGATCGGATACATTGAAATTTTCTTTGTTCGAGTATTTCTCTTGGGATTAACTGCAACAATCAGCTGAATGGAGATTCATAAGTAATTGCTCGTTCTGATTATGTAAGTAGGTGCGTGGCAATACTAATAATTCCAACGCTAATGCCACTCGATTGTGATTACATTGATATTGATGGTGTTAGTAAGCAAAGGGAGAAAAATAATGAATCTTCATTAATTCTATTGAATGGACGCGGTAATGGCCAACCTGAGCTTTTCGGCTCGGTGCATGCCCAACTGCAGTATTGTACACTGGAGCAGTGATGGTTGTGGTGTATCAGCAGATAATGATGAAGATGTGTAAAATATATAAGTAAATGGTAGTATATTAGTGTTGACCGTTTTTTAGTGGATAAAGTTCGCAGTATAATTATCTGTCATGAACGTACTGTAGATGACCTCGATGATTTGTAACTTTGAACTACACATCACTATTAAAACAGTTATTTCAAAAATGTCTTAGTAGTTCATGCTATTCGTTGATAGTCCAATAATGTGGTGTACTAAGTCGATCTTGCTCGTGCCTGACTTGTAATATTATAGATCATAATAATAGAACTGTAACAGATGTCTAGTTTTAACTGACATTGGTACCAATTGCCTCAACAAGGGGAGATAGATTACAAGTAGTCTTAACTATTCAATTCAGTCGAGGGTCAAGCGAGTCCAAGCGACGAGCGTTAACTGTTCATAGCTGACACTCAATTGATGGAGACCATGACTCACCTTGTTGTGTATTCTTCGTTCTCAATTTTCACTAAGAAACTTAATGAATATGAAATATAACTATTCGAAATATTCTATTTGGAGCTACTGAATTACACAAAGAAATTAACAGTTTCGATAGAGATGACTCAAATTTGTCTTCGTACTCGCATCAAAATTCTATATTTTGAGACATAAATCTATAGTGAATTCAAGGGCCCATTGATCATTAGCAGCTGAGAGATCAATCGTTCCTATATACTATATTTCAAGGTCGCATATATTCTTTTCTAACCTTTCTAACTGTCCGCTGTTTCATGTCTCTGAATAACATGCATACAGATACAACCCAATGCTGTTCGAGTGAAACAGAATCGTAAGAAGTACATGTTAGAGTAGCAAAATACTGATAACAGCAGAGATTGACGATGAAAGAACGAAAAATAAATGAGTAAAATAAGTGTCATGACAACACGCCGACTATATCTTTGTGAATAGAATATCAAGTGTTGCACAAATGTTTGTTTCTATGTTATACTCGAGAGATATAATATCAATAAATGAGTAGTTTATAGAGAATTTATTCTTTCAAATAATATTCGTCAAACTATTAGAATTAACATCATATATCCCAGAATATACAACGAATTAATTACATAGAACAAGGAAATACCGTGGAGAACAAAAAGCTAGATAAAAATTGGTATCTTCTATTGAACTTTACTGTAACGGAAAAATATTTATTGTCGCGTAAATATTCTTCAAATAACTGTCGAGATATATAAAATTGCGTATATATCCTGATAGGATGATGGGCAACAAAGTGTAGATCAGTGTCAGCTATATATTTTAGCCGCTGTGTGTATAATATTAACAACAATTCCACACGATGAGTTTATTCTTGCCCAAAATGAATTCCTTGTGTTGTATTTCAATACAACCGAATACAATCGTATGTATTACAAAGCACAACTTTCTTCTTGGAACTTGACTTGTTTAGAACTGAACTCGACTCAACTGTCCTATTGTAACTAAAAGAGAAGAAGTTTAACTCTACTGTTATATGCGGCATTCATGTTAGTTGAGCTTCTTCATTCTAAATCGTTATGACAAATGGAGAGGCATAGTTTAGTTTTTTACTACACGATGTTTATTCAACTATACTCTACATCCAAATGTATCCATCTAACACAAAGCACACGCTTATATACGCCACCAAGGAAGAAGAGAACGGAGAGAGAAGAAAATACATAGAGACAAAAGTTACTGAGAGAGAAAGGGATACGGAGAAAGAAGAGGATATCTAGATAGAAAAGATGCACAGGAAGATTACGTACTGTTCAGTGCGTGATTATGTGTTGTCATATGCAAGGATGAATATTAGTGGTGTAAACTTAATGCCCCCCACTCAGAAAAGCCGATTTTTCGAAAAAAACGAAATCGAGCTTTTGTCATAGAAAGATTCCCCGTGATCTCCTCTTTCAGAATATATATAATTTTTTGAAAAAAGGTTAAGTTTTGACAGACTTATTGAAGAAATATTCTTTCATCTCCCTTACTCCCACACACCTTTCTAAAAATTCCTAAACGCTGATCTGAAAACGTGGGTCTCAAGTAGAAAAATTGCTATAACTTTCGTTTGGCTTTAGCTTTCCTTGATATTTTATTTTATTTTAAACATTTCAATTATAGCTAACTTTTTATCAAGCGGATTTTCGATATTGGATTCCTGGACTGAGAAAAGTCCGATTTAGTGCGTTTTTTATAGCTACTTTGGCAGTCATACCGAATAAAATACTTATAAGAATATGAACAGAAGGGAATTTCGAAATTCTGTCTGATGAAAACTTGCGTATGGAGCAAGGTATGGAGGCTAGCTTTAATTTAAAACCGACCCGACCACGATAGCTCTCATAGCCATGAAGTTATAGCAATTCTTGAGGGGGGCCTTAATTACGCCACCGCAGTATGTTCACCAGCTCTATGACTTACAAGTGGACGTCCGGTGGTTCATATAGCCCCTATCTAATCTAGTCCTTTACGAGGGACGTACTTCTTGGCACAACAGCAATGTTATCAGAAGTGTGCTTTTCAAGTTTCTTTTTAGTTCTATTTGTTTGACTTCGTTCCCTTTGCTGCCCAAGTCGAATCTGACGTTGTTCTTCTGTTTCATTAGCCCGAGTTGATCGTATTCGTTCTCTGTTATTCTAAAGACGATTCTCACGTTGTTTTTCTGTCTCAATCGCCCGCTTAGATTGGGTTTGATTTTTTTGCTTTTCAAGTCTTTTTTAACGTTGGTCATTTGTCTCGTTCATTCGGCTGGAACGAGCACACTCTCTTTTATTTTCGAGTCTGCTTTGATGTTGGCTCTCTATGCCCTTCGGTTCTCTTTGTATTGCAGTTGAAATTACTGATTGAGCAGAGTCATTTTCGATGTTGATTTCACTTCATAAACGTCTACAAGGGGAAGACTGAAATTCAGGAATTCGTATTTGGATAATAGCATTGTTCTTAAATATTTTCTTTTCAGGGGCCTATAGAAAATCGAAAATTTCTCGAATTTCTGTTTATTGGTAATAACCTACCATAACATTTGATGTTGACTGATTGCTATCATCAAACTCAAAAGACATAGCTGTTGACATGAGAGGAACAAAATGGTTTGGACTCCATGTGCCATGATTTGCTTCACGAGCATGGTTTTCATTCTTGGCATGGGACCACAAAATTGTTATCTCACATTTACCAGATATAGGTGGAATAAGTGTAAAGATGTTATTCAGAAATACTATATCATCTCGAAAATCAATATTTGGATAAATATTTCTTATGTTACACCCAAGTACACTGCATAAAGCACCAATTTCTTACAATTCGGAAAACATGATTTTTACATATGCCTTGAATAGCAATGTCAAGTGGTCCAACGAATTGTGAATACCTATTTGAATAGTAAACTTCATTCGTCATAAGTTCAATAATTGTTCGAACTAAAGAAAATTGTTTCAAGTTGATTACCAAATAGCGCATTAAAAATAAACCTACATACCACGCAATTTGCTTGTCGTCACCATTGGATTATTCATTAGGAGAAGAATAGACCCATACAAACAGTTTCCGTCCCCACGGACTTCGACTGGAATAAGATGATCAACATTATCGGTAGCTTTTTTCAAGATATTCCTTAGCTACTACATCTATGACATGTTTTGACTCATCAAAAACTTGATTTGGATGAAAATGAATTCGCGTCATAATTGATTCAATCTATAAAAATATTGTTAATAGTTCAAGTGTTATTCAAAGGAAACTTACTTGTCCAATCCATCGCACAGCAGAAGCAATCTCGTCATGATACATTAAAGTTTCAGAACATTTTCCTAGGTACTGAAGTAATCGTGCAAATTTTTGACCAATACCCATTTGATTGCACCTTGAACAACAGCCAATCATACATTGCACAAAAAAAAATATACATTGAGCGTTCATTTTTAGCTTGAAGCAGTATGTATATAACTTATTATCTAAAACAATCGATGTTGAGTAAATGAAATCAGCGTCTATGAAAAAATGAATTACATATTGTCATTTCATATAAAATTGTATTGTTGAAAAGGTTATACACAAGCATTAGTGATAAAATAATTGAAAATTTTATATTCGTACCACTGTACTAATGATTAGCTCAAAAATATTTCAATTTCTTTCTTGCGTTCTTATATGAGCTAGTTCATTTACAAGCCAATACTACTATAAAAACTTCAGAACACTGTAAAACTCCATTTACGCTGGAACAATCATAGCATTTTATTAAAATTTTTATGTTTGCACAAAAAGATAAATAATACTATTGAGGATGTTAGAGTTAACTTTTTGCATAATGCATTTCACAAACAACGAACTCTTTTGAATAGCGCTGGAATAGTAACATAATGGGATGAAATTTTATTCATATATTTATTACTTTTTTTTGAGATGACAACTGTAAAGTCAGGAAGATTAAACAATATAAATTTATAGAATTATTCTCAGCAACAGACTGGCAAGTTCTTTGTTGCCTTTTCTACTTTCACGTGTTACAACTCGTTTTATTTGTGATTTTATTCGTTCTGTTTTTCTAATTCCAATTGTATTTCCAAGGACATTGATTTTATCTCTCCTTTGACGAGTAATTGGATGTTGCTTCAACAAAAACTAATACATTAAAGAACAGTACTTAACATACGAAATTCTATTTTTCTCCAGAAATCTGTTAAAGATGAAAATTCTGCATATTTTTTTGAAATTATTCTTTCAGCAAGCCAGATACGCAGTGACAACAAATATATCACTTTATTCTCAAATTCCAAATACCAGTGTTTTATCTAAAAATTTTTTTCGGGTGGGCGGTTGAAATTTTTAGAGGGGCTGCTGGCTAGAAGATTTGTTATCATAGAGTAACGAGTGGCCCTTAAAGAATGGTGGTCTCATTATTTACTCAATATCGTTTTTGCTCTTCATTGATTTGAGGGTGTAGGTGTGGGTGTGGATATGGGTGTGTGGGGTGTAGGGTGTCTGCTTTCTCTAGACAACGCTCACACCCGCATCCACACCCCACATGTACAACCCCACAACCACCCACACCCTGCTGCATTATTTACGAGTAATATGTAACGTTTGGATTTTTTTTCTTTTCTGCACGCGTTTGTCACTCCTGCTGTTTATTCAGAAGCATATAAAAATTGTTATGGCTACAGCATGTACTCACAAACAAAAACGACAACATACGAAAAGTGAGAATGTTCGTTCCAAGAAGCATTCTGCACGAAAATCCATTTTTGGCGAAATCGATAAAACGAAAGAATATACCATTTACTGGTTCTGTGACAGCACTAAATCGCCGTTAGATGACCGTGAAATAGCAAATGTTAAACTTCGAGGCATCGTCGATTATCTTCAGAAAATATCAGATATTAATGCTATACGAGAAGTGAACAATGAAAATATATTTCTTATCGTTGATTTCGTGTCTTTTGATAAACACTTTGGTCAACTGGTTGCCTCCAATGAAATCCGTTTAATTTACGTCTATGAAGAGCATTATAATAACAAAAGTGAAGAAAGTAAAAATGAACAGTTCGTCGGATGTACTAAGGTGAGTAATCAGGTAGTCTGATTATCAAGATCAATGTGGACTTTTATCTTTTGTAATTACCATAGATCTCCATTTTATATTTTGAAAGCTTACAATATATAAGAAGTTCATCAAACCTTTTTTTGATGAGTCTTTGGTGACATTCTTTCTTGTCTGAACAGAGTCCCACGAGTAGAAGTCATTGGATCCGAAGATTGTGAATCTAGATGGCCTCCACAAATTATTATAAGTAATGTTCGTGTCTCCGAAAGAAATAGCCAAGACCTTTGTACAATGCCATTTTGCTTTTATTTTCATGAAAAAGATTGATGCACAGTCGCAATAGGTCGTTGTATGATCTGAGCACAACGAAGTTTTCTTCGAAAATCACTACAGGAAATTTCTGTCCTAAAACAAACTGACTAATGGCCAACAAAAAATCAAGTGCATGAAAATATTCCTCAGTCTATCTTAACATATTTTCAACGCAATAACCACGAAATGACATGATTGTGCTATTCTTCACTAACCTTTTTATTTATCTTAATGAACCATGTAAAATGTTCTTTTTAGGTTCGTGGTCCATTTAAAGATCTGAACGAACTCTTCTGCACTCTTTCCACAAATGTTCGTACAATGACTTCTCAACCAAGCATGATGAGTGAGCTACCCCCTTTAACTAGTGTTTCAAAGACAGTTGAACGATCCACTGCGTTTACTTACTCGTACGTAACTGACTGGTATATTTATTTGATTCGTGCCATGCAAGAAGTGCCACCAGCACGAACTTGCAAAGAGAAATTTATTGAAGAATGCCGTATTCTTTATAAGGATAAGCCCACTGTTGTACGAGCAATAAATGAATTCCAAAATACATACAATCCCGAAGACGCTATTCGTTGGTATACACGTGATGGATTTCTTTACAAATTGATTAACAGAGCTCTTCGCGAACAAAATCAAAAGGCTATTCAGCTGCTTCATTTCTTTGTCTACGATCTTGATCGACAGTTGAAAAGCGAATTCAGAGCCACCAAACAAGATTGGCTGAAAGCCGATCCTGTGCGTCTGTATCGTGGACAATTGATGTCCCTGGAGGAACTACATCAACTAAAGAAAAATAAAGGAGAACAGCTATTTCTCAACAGTTTCTTCTCAACAACAACTGACCTGGCCGTTGCGACTATGTTCTCAGGTGCAGGTGCCTATAGTTCTGACAATCCTACGCAATCAGTCATTTTTCATATCGAGTGGACAGACTCCAGGCCTAAGCAAGGTCTTTCTGATATTCGTCGTTTGAGTTATAACGAAGATGAAGGCGAAATCCTTCTTTCTCCAACTCATACTGTCAATCTCCTTGATTGTGTTTATGATGAGAAAGCACGCGTGTGGAATGCAACATTTAGCCGGCTGGGCCAAGTAGATGATCCCTTGATCCGACTCAATGATGATGAACGTTTGATGAGACTTGAACTTACGCTACGTCATCTCATCGAAGAAGAAGATTCGTCGAGCAATGACATGGAAGAAATATCAGATGCATCCTCTAATTCCGATCAGGACGAGTTCAAATTCACAAGAAAATTTTGTGCGACATTCGTTGAAGACGTTCCATTTTTGTTACAAGAACTCGAGCTTCCAGAGCTCTGTAGTATTTCGTTGCACAGCGGTAATTCAGATCGTTTTGAACTGAGATCATTTCGATCATTCACTTCTGATTCACTGGATCATGGACCCAAAATTCGTGATGAAATGGTGGTAACTCTCTACGATGCTTTGGGTAGCATGTTGAAAAGGAAAGGAAAGCTGATGGAAGCTTATTTTTACTATCAAAAAGCATCAATGTATGATAAACCTGAATCTCAGACGTCTTATACACGACAGGTTAGTTTTCCTAGAAAAACCTTTTGAGAAGTACTCTGATTATTACTTTACATGTAAAGTGAACAGATAGAAACGATTACTGTTTAGTGAGAAATATCATAGCGTAATGCGTGTGACAGCGATCAAGATTATTATGAATTTTATATTTTTGTTGTTGTCTTCCACAGAAAATCTCACGGAGAAAATGAAATAGGCGCCTTTAGCTTTTGTCCAAAAAAATCACTTTATTCGGGCTTTGCAGCTCTAGATGAATCTAATAGAATAATTCCGATCGAGTTGTGCTATGTCACAAACGGATCACTTATCCATTATCAACTGTCTGTGATATTATGAAACAAAATTCTAACAAACCATTGTCTCCCTTAGTTTTGGCAATATCTCTTCATAAGCCTACGTAATTCGATAGTCTAAGTCAGAGTTGCAACTGGTAGGGTTTTTTCTAGACCGGTACCGGCATGAGTCATAGTTGTTTTGCTGATCGTATATGAGTCACCATTGATTTTTTTCATTTAATATCAGCCATATCTTACTCTGAATCACTATACCAATTATTTAAGGCTTCTCCTTCATCACTAAGAAAAACATTTTTGATAATATTGATTTAATATAAACAATATATCTCATCATTTTTCTTAGAAATCGTCATTAATGTCATAAAAACTAGCTTGATATGCAAAAATAAACACTTTTATCATCTATTTTTGCAAAAAAATAAGGAAAAAAAGCGAAAATAATTTTAAAAACTCTAGACCGGGCCGGTCTGAAAAAAGTCGCCTGTACCGGTCTGTATACCTGCCGGTAAGGAATTCTAGGCCGGACCTGACCAATCGTTTACCGTTACCGGTTGCAACTCTGGTCTAAGTGACGGCCGACCAATGCACGTATTGCTTCATCCAAAACATTTCCTTACTTTTATGAAATGCCTTTTTTGTATTTAATAAATTATACGCTCTTGTATATCTAGGCCGATCTGGCGCAGCTTCACAAAATCAATGGGGATCATGAACTTGCTTGGGAAATTTACAATGAACTTATGCAACAAACAGATGATCAGGACAACTTCCTTTATGAGGACATTGTATTTGCTCGAACCAGTCATATGTCTGACCAAGTGTTTCTCGAAAACTCACATGCATTTCTTCAGTATTGTTGCGCGAACGATGGCGACGAAAAAGAGCTGTTCATTGTCGAGAGGATTTCGTATATCGTTGATGCATGGGCTGAACTCGGATACAAATACTTTTACCAAAATCACAATGCCGAAGACGCTTTAGTCTGCTACGACCGTGAGAAAGAACTAACATTAGCATCGCCAAATTCATCATCATCTTATTTTCATCCATTGTTGGGATCTTGCTCAGAAAGAGTTGGCGATGTTTATGCATCAAAGAATGATATCGAAAAGGCTCTAAGTCTCTACAATGAAGCTCTTGATTTGTCCAAACAAAGTAGATTTCTTATCAATGTGATGACAGCGGCTAGATGCGCGTGTAAGATTGGGCGTTATAGTCCAAATCATGACCCAGAAATTTTTCATCGTGCTTTTTTGAATCTTATCCAAGGCTATGGAAAACCGTATACTCAAGATACCATTGGAAAATGTTACGTGTGTTTGTCACAAAGTCTTCAGCGATGTGAACGATATGAAGAAGCTGTAAAATATGCTAAACAAGCCCTATTAATCTTTCCGGTCAATCCACTTTTGCTCGAGCGATTAATCGATGACTGCTTTAAATTATTGATTGAACTGCATCGATCTATCAACAGCAACAACGATAACGTGCCGACAAAAGACGAGCTTCTCAACGATCGAAAGTCTCTGAACGACGAAGAAATAAAAGTCATCTTGCAAACAACGCTGGACGCACTGAAAAGCGAGTTGGACAATAAATGAGTCGGAATAACAAAGATGAGTTCTTATCGCACTATCGGATGGCATCATGAAAAAATTGACTAAGCCGCACGTATTCGTCTCACATAACATAGCATTCATCTATTTTGTATTTTGTTTTCTGACAACATAAGCAACATACGTGTGAGAGTCAAAATATTCTGTGATAAAATAACTATTGTCTGCTTTGTTCCCAGTGAAAGGCGCTATTTTCTTGAACTGCATTTACTTTTATTTGTGATTGCTAATTAATCAGTCTTCTTTCGAGTTCGTTTCTAGACATGTAACTACGTATATCATTACCAACTAATCTTGATGCACTATCATTGTTATAAGAGGATAGTGTTCGAACTGTTTGGCGAGGTACCATCATAGTACCGACTGGTAGTTTACGTGTCTTCGTGGCTACCAAGGCATACGGACCAACATCTGTTTGTGGTGATGCAGCAAAAAAATTATCAAGAGGAATGAGACTTAAAGTGTTCTGAGCATTAACATTCACACCCATACCCGTAAGTGGATCAGTCTTAAGTATAAATTTCGGTAAATCGGAATAACTTTTGTTTAATAGAAATAGAAAATTTATCACTTCAAACATACATAAGTATAGTTCATTCGGATATTCACTACTTCGAAACTACAAGTTTATCTGACCGAATCCACTCTACGGTAGTAAAAACAAACCGAATTGGATCGCGTTCAGTACGAACGCATCTATTCGAATAGAGAAACCAGCAGTCTGAGAACTTATACGAATAGCGAAGAAACACATTCGAGACCATCACAGAGTTGAAAATACAATAAATAAATGATTTTTTTTCTTCTAAATAAGAACGCGTTCTTACCGCGAAAAACGTGCTCATATGGAACGATCAGAACGCGTCTGAAAAGGTCGAAAAAAGCGTCTTCACAACGCAGTCTTTTATCTCGACAACGCGTTCTTATCCGTTCTTTTTTTGAACTTTTTTCCAATGGGATTTAACGTCCCGATAAGGCAAAGAAGGAAAAATGATGACTAACGTAAAAACTTGTTGTAAAAAAACCCAACAACTAATTACTGACAGAGAAGTTTCTTAAGTCGTGTCTCAAATAAAATTTTATTAAAAAATTAAAAAAAAAAACTATTCCAAACTCCCTTACTATGTATGTTTCAATTATACTTTTTTTTTCCACGTCTGACTTTTAAATGAGTATCTCATTGGGCAATGTCCAGATACAGAGTGAGAAAGAAAAATGAAACTCATAGGCAAAGGCATAAATAATAATAAAATATCAACATTCTGTCCTTTCACAAGGATGTTTTATACAAGAGAATTTACCTTGTGTCTACATCATACGAGTTGGTGGGGAATTTGATTTTGCGGCAAAATCAGATAAGAATGTATATATATATCGAACAAATTCAACCCCTACCAGATATATCAGCCATATCAGTAATGGAAC